TCAATAGTGTGTAATCTGTCTCTAGCAATATTGGCATTATTTGAAACTATTGTACGATGATATGAATGAACAATTTTGTTAATGCTGTTAGGAACCATTTATAGGAAATATGGTGGACAGAGAAACAAATTAAATGTTTACGAGGAAGCAAACATAAATCCAGAATGAATAAATGAGTTCTGGCAACAAGCCAGTGGCATGGGAAAAAAAGGGGTGGGGAGGTGGGACAAGAAACTTATCCACATGGGTTCTAACCTGATCATTTCTATCTTGTCAGTTCATCCATGCCATTAAAAACTTTGTTGAGTACTCTTGTTTCCAGCAGAAAATTCAGTCTGAATAGCCAACTATGTTACCAAAAACAGAAAATGTAGTACTTTTACTCTCAAATAAGCATGACAGATGTTATGAGTATAAGAAATGAAGAAATGAAGGGGCGCCTGGGTGGCTCAGTCAGTTAAGTGTCGAACTTCAGGTCATGATCTCACGGCTCATGGGTTCAAGCCCCCTATCAGGCTCTGTGCTGACAGCTTGGAGCCTGGAGCCTGCTTTGGATTCTGTGTTTCCCTCTTTCTCTGCCTTTCTCCCGCTCATGCTCTGACTCTCTCAAAAATAAACAAACAAACAAACAAAAAACCCCCCCAAAAAAGGAAGAAAGAAAAAAAGAAAGACAGACAGACAGGGGTGCTAGGGTGGCTCAGTTGGTTAAGCGCCCAACTCTTGGTTTCAGCTCAGGTCAGGACTTTGCATTCTGTATTAGCCCTGCACTGGGCTCCGTACTGTCAGTGCTTGAGATTCTCTCTCCCTCTCTCTCTGTCCCTCTCAAAATGAATAAACTTAAAAAAATATTTTTTTTAGGGGCGCCTGGGTGGCTCAGTTGGTTAAGCATTCGACTCTTGGGTTTGCGCTCACGTCATCATCTCACAGTTTGTGAGTTCAAGCCCTGCATCAGGCTCTGCGCTGTCTCCCTCTCTCTCTGCCTCTCCCCTGCTCACGCTGTCTCTCTCAAAATAAATAAACTTAAAAATATATATAAGAATAAAAAAAATTTTTTTTAAGAAATAAAGACAAACTACTGTACTCTTATGGTGATGAGCACTAAGTATAGAATTGTTGAATCACTATATTGTACACCTGAAACGAATAGAATACTGTATGTCACCTATACTGGAACCAAGATTTAAAAACTTCATAAAAATATAAAATGGGAATCAGTAAAAAAAGAAAAAAAAACCAGACAGACAGACAGACCGACTGGGCTTCTAAATTGTTGATTACCATGGGACAGTTGTTCCCTGGCAGGGCAATCTGTTACACCTTTCACAAGGTTGGGGTAATATATCCTAGGACAGGGCATTTCACAAAAGAGTATGTTAAATGAATATACAGCTTAGTCTCTAGAATACAATAGTTGCTTCAATAGCTGGAACTCCTGACTTGACAGACTTATCTAAAATGCAATTTGTCTGAAATCGTATCTAAAATAAATTTTAACAAACACTTAAGGCTATACAAAATTATTTGAGTAATAGTAATATATGGTATTATTTTACTTGATGAGAGCTTCCAAAAACATAAGGGCAGATTGTTACAATTCAAATATATTAAAAATGTTTCCCCTTTATCTTTTTGAAAATTTTACAATAATCTTTGAATAATAGGAAGCAATTTGGTTATGTCCCCAAACTTGAAATGAGAAATACTGTCACTACCATCGTATTGGAATTTTCTAATATATACAGCAGAATCTAATCTCAACAAAGCCTAAACCCAAATTCATTTGAGTCCGTAAGTTAATGAAATAACATGTTCCTGGTTTCAGGGAAAAAAAAGTACTGGTAAGTATAATGGGACTGGGTAATTCTATTTCCACATTGATGTAATGAGACTTCCTAAAATTGTAACAGAGATTTAGGTGTCTGGTAAGCTGACCCTCAGTCTCACCCCTTGAAGTATAACAGTATATACAGGAGCTAAAATGTAAGAAATCTAAATGTCAAAACAATCGTTCTCTATTTCCACAATATTGCTGAACGTAGTATTTTTAACACATTACTTTTAAGCACTAAGATTGATGACTGGTTTCTGAAATCCATAGAAAGAATCTTATTAAGAGTCCAAGGGTGAACTCTCCAAGTAAAGTGGGAATAAAGCACCTAATCAATAATAAATCTCTAACACTGCAGACTTTTAAAATATAGATATTTTTTGAGGAACATGAATTTCATACAAAAGGTGACTCTTAGAGTATAGTTTCTTTTCTAAGAAAATAAACTTCAAATTTTAATATAATAAATTCTGTTTGGGGTAAAATCTGGGGCAAAGGAATGGCAAATTTAGAGAAAAACAAAGGATTAACAACAAGGCATAAGGAGATCTTCTTTACATGTAACATGCTAAGAATTGGTTTTTAAATAGTAACAATTTGGTAATGAAAATCCCGTAACTTTATTTGCTTTCTTTTTTTTAAAAAAAATTTTTTTTAACGTTTTATTTATTTTTGAGACAGAGAGAGACAGAGCATGAACGGGGGAGGGGCAGAGAGAGAGGGAGACACAGAATCGGAAACAGGCTCCAGGCTCCGAGCCATCAGCCCAGAGCCCGACGCGGGGCTCGAACTCACGGACCGCGAGATCGTGACCTGAGCCCAACCGACTGAGCCACCCAGGCGCCCCTATTTGCTTTCTTTTCTAAGGTAAAGTGGATATTCTGGGAATTAGATTTGAGCTTTTACAGATTATTCATACAATCAATCCACTAAAGGGTGAAGCAGAAGCTACTACAAATCTAGTCACATTTTCTAAAACTCATGACCAAAGTTTTGCCTTTGACGTTATTTTGTGCAATTTTATTTCTTTAAAAAATTTTTTTTAATGTTTATTATTTTTGAAAAACAGAGCACAAACAGGGGAGGGCAGAGAGAGAGGGAGACACAGAATCTGAAGCGGGCTCCAGGCTCCGAGCGGTCAGCACAGAGCCCGACATGGGGCTCAAACTCACAAACCCTGAGATCAGGACCTGAGCTGAAGTCAGATGCTCAACTGACTGAGCCACCTAGGCTCCCCTATGCAATTTTAAAACTATAAATTGCTTTCTCAGTAAGGCAAAATGTGAAACATTCTGAAGAAATCACCTAAAATTGATACAATTATTTCTGAAACACAAAATCAAATGAATACATGGTCACTCCAGTTGTATCGAAGATGTCTCTGGACGGAACAATACATATACCCACTCACTAAACGAAGTTGAGTTGCATAGAGAAAAAAGATCCTTAACCTAAAAGACATAAAATAAAACATGTTTATCTGACCATATGAATTTAACTAAAAGCATGAGATGCTCATTTAAAAATGTAGTCTTGCTTATGTGTAGTCTGGGCTAAATGATCCTTTGTACCAGAAAGATAATGACAAAATAACCCCATATGTAAGTACTTTGGTACTTCCGAAAAAGGAAGATTGAAGTGGTTGATAAATCTGAAAAGCTGATTATACATAATAATCAGCATGTTGGGGGAGCACCCGAAAATGAAACATAGATTGTATTCTGTTATTTTAAAAAGTGACGGGACAACGGAACCATTTTAGAAGAACATGAAAAGGCAGGAGTTAAAAATAGTTAAATTAACAGCTTAGAAAAGGACGGTCAAGTTCGTGTTCAACATTTTCCAACGTGTAAAAAGAATACGGAGTAGAGGCTTTAAAAAGAGAACCGCACATTCTTCATGAGGCAATGTCAGAATGTGGAACCTGAGCTCAAATACACAGAAATGAGTGAGGGCCAGGTCTAATGGGCACGAGGCACCACATCCTCTGGCAAATTGGGAGGTAGATGGGCATGCTCCATGCTGTAAATTGAAAAACAAACAAACAAACTTGGGGGGCCCATTTTGTTGCGTGTGCACCTCTTGCACTAAATTTGAGTCAGCACCAATGACAGCGCTGCAGTCCTCTGTGGACTGATCAGGTGGCTGCAGAGCTCGGGCTCACAGCCGCACAGCGCAGCTGAGCGGGCAAGCACAGCCCACAGCCAGAAGCGGCTCCCACTCTCCAGAGCAAGGCGACCTTTAAAGCTTAAGTTTCCCGGAGAAAATGAGATGCTGCTGCTGAAGACGACACTATGGTAAGCTGTTATTTAGATCAGTAAAAGACTGACTTGGGAATTTTTTTCCTTTTTTTAAAGAAAAAGTCAACGTGAGGATTGAATATATATTCAGTAGCAAGCAAGTGCATGCACCAGAAATTTGCTGCAGTGTCAGTGGAGGGGTTTCTTTTTAATATTCATTCACTTTGTAAATATACACGCTGCTTTCTTTTAGAATCGGCACTGAAATATACATAAGAAAATCACTATAAAATGGGAGGTTTAAATTATGGTATTGGTCTGAATTTTTCAAGTGCCTTGAAATGTTTTGCTAGGACATATTTATCCCAAAGAGACAAAGATGAATTTCAAAGTATTGTCTTAATATCTAAATCAAATCTTACTCTATACACAATATTGACTATTACATTACCGCAGAGATTTAAAAAAAAACAAAAACAAAAAAA